GTATATTTGGCACATCTCCTTCATGTAAGAGACTGCACAGGGGCTGAATGGCTAGCGACGGGGAATGCAGTGGGGATCCACCACAGAGTGGGAAGGGCCCAAGGGGGACAACACCTGGGAAGGCTGCCAGACTCCTGGGAAGAAGGGGAGTGGACCTCTGCAGAAGCTGCCGCTTGCTGTTGTGTGGATCATTCTGGGCTCTCGCCACTTTGCTATCGCCGTGTGTCTCTGTGTGCGAGTGTGAGTCTCTGTGTGTTTTATTCAAGGTCATGTTGAAAGTGTATAATGGAAGATGGTAGGACTGCATAGGTGGAGTATTTTATGGAACAGTTGTCTAGTAATTAATCCTGTGGTAAAGATTCGTATGCAAAACAAACTGGCTTTGACTACTGGGAATTTATCTGTGACAGGACTTTTCCTTCTTTGGGATAAAAATAATTTTTTTAACCTATATTTTGTACACTACATTACTTTTGACTTAACATCATATCGAGTGCATTTTAATAAATAAGCAGTTTCACCTTCTCCCTTCCACCCACGGTAACGGGCGTGTTCCTGAGGGTCTGTCGCAGACCCTGCTGGTGTGGGGAGACCTTCTTTGTAGAGCCCTTTTTCTGCCTCTTAACAGCTTACGATATTATCCTGTACGTGCCCAGAAGCACCTCAACAGACTTCATTGTGAGGAATTTAAGAAGTCTGTTTTAAGCTGAAAATCTGTGGTTTATTCTTTAATGATTTTCTGATTTTTAATATTGTTCGCTACTTGTTTTGTGTGTGTTTATGGTGTCCCATAATGCTTTGCTTTTTTTAACAGGGAAGAAAGGGAAAGAGGCCCCAGCAGATAGCCAACAGCGCCTCCCTGTGGCCGCCGCTACTGCAAGTGGTCTGCAGGGCTCTCCCCCACCAACCTCCTCCCAGCTGCTTCTGCGGGCGGCAGCCTGCGAGGTGCCCTCCAGTGCCAACGGCGCGCACCCCTTCTCCCCCACGAGTATCGGGCAGGACTTCTTCAGTCCGGCGGTGACGGGCACCGGGAATGCCTTCTCGCTGGCAGCCGGCAAGGTGCCGTTGAACTCATTGCTGCAGCGCCAGCTCATGCAGACCTTCTACTCCAAAGCACTGCAGGACTCCTCTGGGGGGGGCGTGCTCTTCGGGGCGGGCCCCTATGGCGCCGGGTCCCTCTCCGGCAGTCCTCTTCCTCAGCCGCCACACCAGTCCGCAGGCAGTCCCGACGTCAACGGCATGGCACCATCGCCCAGCCAGTCGGAGGGTGCGGGCAGCGTCTCGGAAGGTGAGGACATGGACACAGCAGAAATCGCACGCCAGGTCAAGGAGCAGCTGATCAAGCACAACATCGGCCAGCGCATCTTTGGCCACTACGTGCTGGGCCTGTCTCAGGGCTCCGTCAGCGAGATCCTGGCCCGGCCCAAGCCCTGGAACAAGCTCACCATCCGGGGGAAGGAGCCCTTCCACAAGATGCGGCAGTTCCTGTCCGATGAGCAGAACATCCTGGCACTGAGGAGCATCCAGGGCCGGCAGCGAGGTGAGCCCCCCCACACACACGCACACACATGCGGGGCTTCCTATGTGCAGCGCCGGCTGAAGAGAGATCCCCTTCACCAGACCGTTTCAGAAATGCACTGATAAGACTCACATCACATCTTGGCATTAAACACGAGCGTTTAATTAAATGCAGCAGCCTATAGATGGAAGCCTTGTGGAAGCCTCGGTAAGTATGGAGAAATTAGTTGCAGTCTTCTGTGGGTACAGGAACCTGCTTTAAAAATGGCCCCAGGGAATGACATGGTGACCATCCTTCTAGATCTAAGATGGCGTCCTTGGGCTTGCTCAGGTTCGAGCATAAGGAGTGTCTCGGGCTGTGACAGCAGGCTGTCGCATTTGTCAGGATCTTCTCCGGTGATGATAAGCTTCACAAGCAGGAAGGCCCTCGTGACAACTGACTGTGGCCCTCTGATGTGACCCGTGTCCGTTTTCCCCGGGTCCTAAGGAACGTGTGCAGCCGGTACAGTCAGTGTTTATAGACACCCTCAGAAATACCCCTTGTTCCCCTGACGATGCCCCCCTGTGTCCGGACAATGTGAGTTGTTGCAAGTGGGGGTGGGTCTTTGCCCTGTTGGCCATACAGGTGACAGCATCTGTCTCTCTCCTCGGGGGACCTGCTTGTCCGTCCCCCCCACCCCCCAGAGCTGATAGCCGGATACAGTCATGGTGGTGTGGGTTTTGAGCGCGAGCCACACGCGGAGCGTGACGGGAGCCTCACTGATGCAGGGGGTGGGCTTCCACGTCCTCGTCTGTCCTAATTACACGCCGGGGCTGCGCTTGGCGGCGGGGGAGGACATAAATTACATGGCGCTCTCGGCAAAAGCCTGCTCGCGCAGCGCTAAAAGCGGAGTAGAGCAGACAAGGGCCGGTTCCGTTTGCCGCGTCTCTGTCTACAGCTGCATCCAGCATTTGGTCTGGCCGTGTGCCCCAAACCTGTCTGCTACTTCAGTCTGTGAAGCAAGGCAGAGTAGCGGGAATGAATCGCAGGAAGTGACTATGTACAGCATCAGTGTCACATAAAACTAAGCAAACTCTCTGTTTGTAAAACAAAACGTGCATTTTTGTAAGCCTCAGCTGCAAATAATCTCCCACAAGACCAAACCTCATCTTCTGAGCTCTCCCCCCCCCCCCCAGCTATGAGTTACAAAGGGGTGCACTGAGTTTGCTGGCCCCTCCTAGTCTCCGATAGACGTGCTTTCGGCGCTGCTTTGGCCACCGTCTCCCTCAGTCTCTCCTGCGCCCCCCTCCCAAAGTCCATCTCTATGAGGATACACTCCATTTTTCAGGCTGATCCATATTGCATTTTTATATCCGCCCCCCCTTCAGAAGGGCAGGGGGGCCGTCCCAGGCCCGGGGCTTACGGGAGAGGTCTGCTTGTTCAGTACTAGTAGTTCCAGCACTTAATTTTTTTTTTTAACCTCTCGCCGCTTGTTTCTCAACAGAGAACCCAGGCCAGAACCTGAACAGAGTATTTCAGGAGGTTCCGAAGCGAAGAGCCGGCTCCGAAGGCGCCTCGCGGCCAGGTCTGTCCTCGCCCTCGCCGCCGCGCGCACTGTGTGCTCGCGTTCCGTCCGTTCTGTCTGAGGCTGAGAGCGCGTGTGCGTTTGTCTCCATCTGGCCTGGAGTTCGGGTGATGGAGTCCAGTTTGGCCTGCAGAGGGTGCCGGGGGGCGTGTGCCACTGGCTTTGCTTTAGGCCCCAGCTGGCACGCGTCATTTCACATGGAGCCCTCTGGCGTGGCAGGCGTTTGTACCTTTTACCGTTTCCCTCATGAGGGGCAGAAGAAATTCTTTCCTCAAAAGAGAGAAGGAAACCTGGACGGGGGAGAAAGCCCGTCCAAATCCATGGTGACCCACATCAGCGCCGGTGGCGACGGCCACTCCGGGAAGCACCTGACATGTTCCCGCTGTCGCTCGTAGCTTGATTTTGGACCCTCCCCAGCGCCCCTCCAGTGCCCTGTGGCCGAGCTCACACATGAGCGAGCATGACCTTGTCCAATTACGCTCGCCTCCAATCGCGGGCTGGGGGCGGGACAGGGAGCGCTTCAGCTTCCCGCTGTCTCGCCATCGCGGTCGTTTTGTTTTGCTCAGAATCCCAATTAGGATTGCTGTGCGCGGCTCGTCGGAGCCCCAACCCCCCCCCCCCCCCCCCAATTTAAAGCTAATCAATTCCACGGTCTGCTTCCTATTGTTCTTCAGAGAGTGTGAGGGTTTCTGGTCCTGCTAACGAGGCACATCTGCCAGTCTGCGCATGCTGCGCAGCAGCTCTGCTCCATGCCGCCGGGCGGCCTTCGCCTCGTACCCCGTAACTCTTCCCACGTGTCCCGTTGGACTCTGGTGCTGAGCAGAATCATCCTTTGCCGTAAACATTTTCATGAACATTAATGGAGGAAACCGTGATGGTATGAGAATCTCTTAATCAGTTTTTCCTCTCCAGTCCTAATTTGCCTCCAATTTTGAGTTTCCAACAGTACACACACCTTCAGCCCCCCCCCACAGTCCTGGAACACAGCTTTAGTCGGCGCCCATCACCTTCGGGTTTCCTTTCACAGGCAGCATCACCACGCGGATCCGCACCCCCGAGAGTGGCTCGGACGAGGCCATCAAGTCCATTTTGGAGCAGGCCAAGCGGGAGCTGCAGGTGCAGAAAGTGGGTGAGTGAGTGGGCACCGTCTGCCTTGAATGGGCGTTGGGTGTGGAGGAACCTCGTAAGGACGGGCGACCATGGGGTCATGATGGGCCGCGGTTTATCAGCCGAGGATGCGGCAGTCAGACCCCATCCCGCCTGACTGGGTGGGGCGGGACAGAGGCAGCGGTGGGCAGGGTGTTCCCTTTTTGGAAGATTGAGTCTCAAGCTGTAGTGCAGCTCGTTTGAGCGGAGAGGGAACCTCAGGCGAGCCTGAGCAGATGCTCCTGCAGGGTGGGTTGAGAGCAGCTTTTGCATGTGCGTGCAGGTACGTCGAGGAGTTTGCGGCGTGGTGGATTGTGGGTACCGGGGCTGTGAGGCATAGAGCGGCGAGTCTGTGTGGGAAAGCACCGCTCTGGGGGGCCATGGGGAGAAAATGCTGCAGGGCTTAATCATATACCTCCCCAGTGATCAGAATACCCTCTTATCCCTCTCTGTGCTGTAATGACAGTAATAATGGCGAGTATTTGTTTTCTTTCTGGGACACGCAAATTGCTATGCCTTGTAATCTTTTAAGCTCCCTTTGTAAGCGTGCGCAGACAGGAATGGGTCCAGTCTTGCTTGGTGTTACCGACGGACCCTCACCGACGTGGCGAGGCGTCTGCGGCTTTGAGTGACGCGAATCGAACGCGTTCGGTTCTTCATTTGATTGCAGTGGAGCCCTCCCAGGCCCCCCCATCGTCCAGCGGGAGCGGCAGCAGCTCCGACGACACTATCCGCTCGATCCTGGAGCAGGCGCGGCGCGAGATGGAGGCCCAGCAGGCGGCGCTGGAGCCCGTGTTGAAGGCGAGCTCGCTGTCCCCTGGCGACCTGTCGCTTCTCTCCCCCAAGCTGCTGGGGGTCTCGCCCCCCTACTCGCCCCTCGCCCTCTCCATGAAGAAGCCGCCGCCAACCGCCACCGCCTGCTCTTCGCCTTCGCCGTTGCTCGACTTCTCTACCATGAAGAAGGAGAATGCCGAGCCACCCGTCCCGGAGGCTACCTCTGAGGGGGGGGGCCGGCAGGGCCGCAGCAGCGGTGCAGGGCCCTGGAGAGACCAATGGTGGAGCACCATGCACCCTGAGCGCCGTGGCATGACCCCACTGCCGTCGGAGGAGAGCCGCGGGCAGGAGGACTCCAAGGAGGTGGGTGCCGCTCGTGTGGCCAGCATCGCCGCCCCCGCCAACGGCGGTACCGCTAAGCCGACCGACTGTTCCCGCTTCCCTTTCACCGCCTGAGATTTGAAGTTCCTTACGTTGTCTTCCGGCGCCCCTGCCGCGGTTGGTTTGGCCAGCATCACGCGAGAGTGGTTCCCCTTGAAGGAGTGACTCATAGCTCCTCACCGCCCCAAACAGCTCAGGCCCCCGCATCCCAGCTCCGGTTAACTGTGCCGTCTTTTCACCCCGCAGTCTCCCCACTCTGAGTGATCATAACTTGAGCCATCTTAACAAAACAGTAGCGGCGATGGGCAGCCAGTTACCCCCTTTAGGCAGCCATTGGGGTCGTCGTCTGTTCGGGTCGGTTCAGCTTCATGGCTCCCTGCCTGTCCTCAGGTCATGACCCCTGCTCACCTTATGCCACGAACCCCCAGATTGTGGGTGGATTTGACTGACGTACCTCTGCATGTTACAGAGATGCAGTCTGACTGACCATAGCAGCCGCGGCAGAGACCCTCCCCCGCCCCCCCCGGGCTGACTGACTGTACCTCTCTGTGTCTCTGTAGAAGCCCTCCCGGCCGGCCGGCTCCGTGGCCGCGCCCTCCTGCTCCTCTTCCTCCCTGGACTACTGGAAGGACTGGCCGCGCGCCGACTCGCCCTATTCGCAGGGTTCCGAGCCCAGCCTGCAGGGCCCCAGCCGCGGGGACACGCCCCAGAGCAGCCCCCTGCCCAGCTCGCCGCTGCTGGCCCCGGCTAAGGCCGCTAAGCCGGCTGTGCCGCCGCTCACGCCCGAGCAGTACGAGTTCTACATGTACCAGGAGGTGGACACCGCCGGGCTCACACAGCAGGTCAAGGACAAGCTGGCCAAGAACGGCATCTGCCAGCGCGTCTTTGGAGAAAAGGTCTGCAGCCCCTGGCCAAACCGCCATCCCCCTTCACGGCATCCGCTCACTCTGCCCAAAGTCCCCAGTAAGGGCCATCCTCTTTCTGCTGCCCCGTCAGTTTTACCGAGGAGCTCCCTGAGCTTCCTGGCACCCAGGCGTGGTCAAGGAGCCCAGCCAGTGCGCTCTCCTGAGGTGGCAGCATTGCCGACGCCGGGCCCACCTTCGGCACTCTCCAGAGCCACATGCCCTGCTCTCCCCACACATGTCTTGCCTCTAGAAGATCTTTCAGATCCAATAACTTAGGCATCAGGCAGCTAGTTCAGGCCCCAGACTCGCCGGCCGTAGCTGTAAGCGCAGTAGGCAGTAAACCTGATAAAAGGCTACTTGAACAGAGACCTTTTTAGGTGCAGTTTGTCACTGTTTCTTGAAATATGAAAGCTTTGCTTCGAAATACGAAAGATTTTGCTTGGTAGGACGGGTAATGAAGTTCAAATCTCAGAGGCTTTAAAATACGTTTATGTGCGTGTGCATGCGTGTGCATTTCCGTGTCTCTAGGTGTGTGTCTGCGTCCGTGGTTTCACTCTATTCGTGGAGGCAAACTATAAGAAAATAGTGCCCACAAAGACTAACTCCTTATAGGCATGTTGTGTGCAAATCTTATAGGTTCCAGCAAAACTGTCAGCATTTAATTACAAAGTCACCTGCTTTACATTTAACAAACCAAACGAGCAAATGCTGTTCGGTTTTCCTGTGCTCGCTTTCTTAAGGCAACTTAGGAGCCATTCACTACTTTCTGATGAGAGCTGACAGCAAGTCCCCATACAGCATAGACGCCATGTGTGTGTGGCGTGTGCTGTCCACATGCTCCATATGTGTGAGTAACTGGAGCCCCCCCCTTTGTTACAGGTGCTGGGCCTGTCCCAGGGCAGTGTGAGTGACATGCTGTCCCGCCCAAAGCCCTGGAGCAAGCTGACCCAGAAGGGCAGGGAGCCGTTCATCCGCATGCAGCTGTGGCTCAACGGCGAGCTGGGGCACAGCGTGCTGCCGCTGCAAGGCCAGCTGCAAGGTACCCGGCTGCCCCCCACCCATCGCTCCTGTACCCGCCTGCAACCTACTCGCCCACCCTCCACCAATCACTCCTATACCCATCGTTCCTGTACTCGCCTCACCACCACCCATCGCTTCTGTACTCGGCGCTCCAGTACCCCCCCTTTACCCACCACCTGGCTTGGCACGGCCCCTCCCCCAGCCGCCCTCGCACCCTGCGTGCATGACAGACCCCCCTTAATGACCGTGTTAAACCTGCCCTGTCTGTCTAAGGCCGTAGTGGTGGTCTCACTGCTGCCTTATCTCAGTCCTCAACCGGGTGCCTGGCACTGCACTTCCTATGAAAACACATAATGTGATGCCACACGGAGCGTTAGCGCCCCCCAGATGGCCGGGTCCTGCCGCGCAGCCGGCGACGGGCAAAAGGACACCTGCTGGGGGTGTGAACCGGCCTCTTTTCTCGCCGCTGAAGGCGGGCTGCCCTCCCCGTGTAAAAAACGCGTCCCCCGGCACACCGAAGGTGTCAAATTGAAGGGCGTCGGTCCCGCTCTTCCGGGCTCCCAGACCGCCTGGCCCTGGATGTCCTCCCATTCCCTCCCCCAGAAACACGTTCCTTTTAGTCCGTGTTTTAAGACGCCTGCACGCCCTCTGCCGCGGGCTTGCAGTGCCGGATTTTTTTAGGCCCATCCTTGGCGGTACATCTCAGCAGTGACGTGGATGTGGGAATGTGCAGGAGGTCGTGATAAATGCCTGCACACCCGCCCCCCCCGTCTGCACCCCGGCGTCCTCTCCAGCCCAGGCCAGCTTCACTTCAGCGCCACTGGCCTGGCCGCTAATTATAGCAGCCTAATTAAGGCATGGAGGACTAAGCAGGACAGAGAGGACGAGTCTGCTGTCAGGTGAAGGCTATGGAATAAGGCCAGTGCTGAAGCTTAGTCTCACATTCGCCGGCCTGCAGTGGGAATCGCAGGGAGGGCCTGCTGTGTGTATGTGGTCGAGGTGTACGTAACATTGTGGGGACATTAAAAACCTGTCTGGACCATTTTTTCACAGATAAAAATCTGTGACTGTGATCAAACAACTAAAAATGCCAAAGATCTTGTATTTTGTGGTTAGGGCTGGGGGTTAAAGTTGTGATTGCTGGGATTAGTGATTTGCCCATAGAAATAAATGGACAGTCCCACAAAAATATGAGTACTGCTCTGTGTGCGCGTGTGTGTGTGCGCGCGTGTGTGTGTGCGCGTGCACACATGGGTGTCTCTCCCAGCAACGATCACCATAAGTAGCTTGTGAGGAATACCGGATAAACAGTGCTAGGCCTTTCCCAAAAACATGCTGTGTACCATGTATGAAATAATGAGAGCTCCTGAAATAACTAACTAAACCTTATGTCATGCCTGATCCTCCACTTTCATGATCCACACTCCTAGGAGCTCAGAGCTAGACACAGAGCGGCAGCCCCCCTCTCGGGCACAGGACTTGGGATGTAAAGGGAATTGGGAATCCTGTGTGCTGCCATGCCGTCGGACAGGCAAGGGCCGCCAAAGTGTCTCTGTGCTCTCGCGTTGTTATGGAAACCTAGTTCATCCTGACCCAGTTTAATGATTTAAAAGTCCACTAGGCGGCTCGGTTTGGATCCCCGACGTCTGGGCTGAGCAAGCTCATCGCAGCGTGTTGTCTTTCACACAAATGCCCCCCCCCCCCCACACCCCGTGCCAACCGCACAGCACGCTCGTGAGATTCATCGTGATATGTGAAGCGTGTGCCCACGTGCCTGTGTTTGTTCCCAGAACCTTTATGTAACAGCGGAATTCAGTCGTGTCACGCTCGGGGGGGATTAGTGCACGAGGACGAAGAAACGCATATGCGAGTGCAAAAAACACTCACAGAACAAAGAAGATCCTCATCCCATTGCTTTGTGCTTCCTAAACCGCATTTTAATGTGCAAACATTTTAGCTCTAAGTTTCCCTCTTGCCCCTTTGTTGTAGGTATAAATGGTGTGGCATTGGACCGGTCCAAAGAGGGCCTGTTCTGTGCTGTGAGCAAAGTACCAGCGTCTTTCCGCTGCTTTGAAGCGCTGCTTGATTGTGCAAAGGTCTTCAGCAAAGGAATAATGCACAATGTTGAGATCCATATTCAAACACATCACAAGAGCTCACCCCGAGCAGAACACTTGAGGCTTTCTGCAGCTTATCAATGTGTGGCTCGTTGTCTCTGTTGAGGGTAGCCTGCTGCTTTATCATTTTGGGCTACCAGTCTGATTTAGGAACCTTGCTGCTTTGGCCCATTGCTGCCACCAGTCATCCCTCCTGAATCAGGAGTTCCCTGTACAGAGGGAGTGGCGCTATACTCCTGGGCGACTGCAGTGCTATGTAGGCTTGGGCGGTATCTAATTTTTTAATTCTGCCCAGACATAAAACTGCAGTATATAGTATTTTGTGTGTCTTCAAAACCTATCCCAGTCTGGTGTTTCCAAATCTTACGAATTTAGAATTTACGGACTGGAATGGGAGGGTCCCCCATGATACAGTTCGCCAGTCATCCCCAAGATAAATTTCACCGCCACGATTTTAGAATACCGCAGTATACCCAAAGCGCTGTAGTATACTCTATTACCAGTTTGGTGCCCAGACCTGGTTCTGTGTCTGTCAACTGATACTGTCTGTCTATGGCCTGCGGACCAGTCAGATACAGGAATTTGGTGAACAAAAACTATTCACTGGTAACAGTCTTCAGTTGATGTGTACTGTCGAACATTCTCTCTGGTCCATTATTCCTGGTTTGATGGAACTGAAATGTGGATTCGTAACGCTAAGTGTGCAACGATGCTCTCGGAACCGACACAGTAGGTGCAGGGTTTGGTAGGCATCTGGCGAAATGGTTGGGCAGTGTCTGAGCTTGTCTGCTGCCTCTGTCTTTATACGTACAGCATGTATGAGGCGGGCAGGGTGGGAGGGGCTGTGGGGGGGGGGATGTTTTGGGGAGAGGCAGCCTCATGTGCGTCCCTAGGGCCTCCTGCGGTTGTTGTAATCAATTACCCCATCAGCACGCTGAAGTACAGTAATTACCAAGCAGCTCCCCCCACACACGCACCGCCAGCTGATTAATATGCAAATAATCAGCCGACGGCATGATGAATGCGCTGTGCTTATCGGAGTGGCTGAGGCTAAGCTTGGGGTTCTGCCGAGTGGGGGTGTGCACTGGTCAGTGGTGATGGGACAGTATCTTCGGAGAGATGCTGGCCGCAGCGGGACGATGGCGGACCAGGAACATGCCGCTCCTCCTCTTTGGGGTGGCAGTGTTCCCCCCATCCCCGGGGAAGCCGCTGTGTCTCCCCTTCTCTGCCGCAAGCCCTTCGTACCGAGCTCCCACTCCCTGATTTCACGTTCCTTTCGGCCCCCTCTGCTCATGCTCCCCAGTGGTCCGTGATCCACTCCCCTGTTCCTCTCGTCTGTGTGGAAGAGTTGCATGGCTTGCTGTAATGCGTGTCAGTCCGACGGCGATAAACAGCTGTGTGCCCAGATGTGCCCCCCTCCCATTAGGCTCTCATCCCCCAACATTAAAAGCACAGCCCCCCCTTGCCGCCGGTTAAAATGTCACCATCATGAAATCCCCGGCTCAGGATGCGAACTGACTGTCCCCCGCCCTCTACGGGACCTAATAGCAAGTGACGTACCCACCCCCCCCACCCCGGTTGTTCACTTGATGGGCCGTGGCCAGCTTGGTTGGGATGGGGGGGGGGGGGAGACAGAGCGTTATTGCGAAGCTCAGAGCAGGCTGTCAAAACATGCTCATCAGAGCCAAGCCGTGCCGCATGGAGAAACAAAAGACGGGTATTGTGTGTGGTTTCCGGAGACTCTACGGGAGAGCCACACAGGGAACGGCGCGGTGTATTTGTAATCCTACCCGGGGGCTGCTCTCCAGCACCCACGGTGTGTGTCTGTCTCAGCGTGCCTCGGCGCAGGCTCAGTCAGCCCGGTCCATGTCGCCGCGCACGCGTCTGCTGGAACGTGCTCCTGGGCCTTTCTGCACACCCCGGCTGACTAAGCGTGAGCAGTTCAGACAGACTGGGCTTCTGCTGGGTTCGGGGTGGATGCCATTGGGTCAGCCGTCGGCCAGGTGGGGGGGCAGCACACCCCCGGTTCCATCCGCTTGGGTTTCTCTCCACAGAAGCCCCCCATACTTTAGTCATTTCTCATTTTCCTTAATAACGGGGGGGGGCTTCAGCTTACAGCTGTTTTCTAAAATTACCACCAACCGTAGCGACCTGGGAGGCTGACATGGAGACCCAGCAGAGCTGCACCTACCCCGCATCCAGGTTGCGCAGTCGGCCGCATTTCCCTGCAGAGGCGGGTAGGGCACCCCCTATCTGCGGTCGCTGGTACCTGCGAGAAATGACTTGTCGGCCACCCCTGTAGTAGCCTCTGATCCCCCCCCCGTCCAGTCCCCCATCGCCCACTTTGCCCATGTGGTCAGCCTGGGCCCAGAGAGTGCTTTGAGATCACACAGTGGGCAGCCCCCTCAACGAGTCGGCTGCTTCCCGGATCCACGTAAATCTGAGCTGACAGCTCTTTGGAGACTTTCTGCTTGCGGTGAGATAGACAGCACTGCCGTTCGCTGGCACCGACAGAAGCCCTTCATGTAAATGCATACGGATGTGGCTCAGCCAGCTAATGGCTTCTGACACGACGGCTTGGCACATACGCTCTCTCTCCAGTTATCGTGTCATTGCCAATAATTGTGTAATTAGCTGATTCCAACCTATTGATACTCCCATTCATTCAATACGCTGGGCTAATTTGGCCTTAATTGTGCTTTCTAGCCTGCCATGTCCTGCTTTGGGCCCCTCTTGTGGTCTGTCTGTTGCCTTAGCTTAGCTATCTGATGTTTTTTTATAATTTCTGTAAGAATAAACATGCTGTTTCTCACAGCTTAGTTCACTATTGAGGATGCAGAGCGGTCATTTGAAATGTACAACTTAATGCAGATGGATGTGTAGCATTCTAATGATTGAATGCAGCCTTGTTTAACATGCACTAATTTTATTTAATCAAAATTTTAATTGGCCGGCAGTCTAGATACAAACGGGATTTTTCTCTGTAGTTAAGCCGGTTTGTTAACCCTGAAGCCCCCACCTCCAAACCGGCTCGGGTCTCCTGTGGGTGTGCAGGTCCAGGACGTCTGTGCTGTCGCCGTTGGGGACACACGCCATTATTGCAGCATGCGAGCTGTAGCCATGCACTGGTCCGGCAGGCTCCCCCAGGCCGCCGCCAGATTCGGCCCGAAGCCTATTTGCCTTGGAGTACCCCACCCCCCCACTCTCCGTCCTGAGAGGGACCGGTCAGCCACACGGCTGAGGGGCTGGAGACCCACAGAGCCGGGCAGCCACAGCGCTGCGGCTGTTCCTGTGACCCCCCCCCCCCCCCCGCCTTCCTGGGGACTCAGACCTCTTGGTCTGCCCATCCGCTTGCTTGCTTGCACGTGTAACATGTAATTGAAGCCGGTGTCTGTTTGGAATGTAATTGTTCGGTATTAATCACTGTCAGCCGGGAGAGCGGGGAGTTTGTTTGTGCCGCAGCGACGCACACAGCGGGAATGTTTATCTCGCCGCATTAGGTGGCAGTTTACCTCAATTAGACAACAGCGTCTGCTTCTCAATCGTAAATCCTGCAGAGTCTGTCTGTGTCTGCTGGCACTGCCCCCACCCCTTACTCTGAGGGACAGTCCCCCCCCCCCCCCCCGTTCTCGCACCTTCCCTCCCTCTGACTTTGGGTCGTCTTGGTTACTAGCGGCTGAATTGGCAAAATTATCCGTCAGTTTTCCATGGGCGCTGTGAACAGCTGGTCAGGTTCCCGAAGTGTTACTCTCTTCCCATATGTTTGTTCCTTTGGTTTAGCCTGTAACTTAGCCAAGCGCTCTGCTGTAAATTGGCATTCAGTTGCACGGGTCTCTGAAACATTTTCACTGGGGTATTGCTCTGGGTTGTGTTGTTAAAGCTTGGCTTTGCTTTCTGTTTAGACCCCGCCCACCTCATGTTGTCATGACATGCAGCCAGCCAATCATAAATGAGAGGGGGGGCAAGTTCATTGTAGTGAAGCGACGCTATTGGACCATTCTGTAGAAGATGTGTTCATGTGAACGCAGTACTACGCTTCATTCACAGCACATTGCAGCCAGAGTGCTTACTGTGCCCTGA